CTTCTAGCAGCATCTTCAGCGCATTACCATTTTAAATTCTTCACTCGGGCAGTGACATCGCGAATTCTTGTTCGACAGCAATGTTTATTCGTCTTCATAATTTTTCTAGTTATTTTTAACCTATTGACTTTTCTAGTTATTCACTTGCCATATTGCGTTGCGCAATCTGCAGTTTATTAATATCTCTCAAGCCAAAGCTTTACGCTGTCCCGCAGCATAGCATTTGGGGCACATTTCGATTGAAAAGTTTTCCTTTCAAGCATAATGTCAATTTGCCAGATGGGAACGTCTTTTCAACAATGCTTTGTGCCACTTTTATTCCTCTGTTGATTCCGTATGGTCCTCAGTTGCAGCGATCGAGCTCGAAGAGCCACAGACTCACAGTTTTGCGCTTTTCCAACCCTGAGTTCTACGTACTTGATGAGCATGACCTGAGTTTTCCTCAGATACTTTTCAGTCGTGCTTTGATGCTGAATTCGTTCAGCTCTTTGGAACGGATCATAATGTCATTCGCAAACTGAAGGTCTTTTAGGCGCCCTTGATTTTTCCAACGGAAAATCTAGAAAGCCTCTTCTAAAGCTGCCGCGAATAACTCATGCAATATTGCGTTTCCCTGTCGGACGGGGGATCAAGGATCCAATCAGAGGCAAATAAAAGAAATCCTTTAGGGTCGAGTGCATTTGGAAACATGTTCAATATTTGACTGAAAAGGGAGTCTCTTTCCTCAAAAATACGACTGTAACCTCCTCTCTATCAGGCCAATGTTGTTGCACTGTATGAAGACAATTGTTCGAAAAAAAGGAGCAAGAATGAAAGCTGTGCTGCATTAAACAGCATTAGCTCCAACGTGTAATGAAAGTTAAGCGGCAACACTACGTAACGAATGACTCTCGTATGTTTCACACACAGGTTTATCCCATTGCATCGAAGACGATATTGGATGCCATACAACCATTTCACTTCGATCGAATAGATGAATGCTCGCTCTTCAGCCCTCTCGATTTCTGCCACATTAGTTCTAACAAAACCTTCGCATCTTAGGCTACCCTGATCTTGAGTTCAGC